AAAAAAAAAAAAACGAAAAATTTCATTCGCGATTATTTCAACCGGAAGTTTTGTTTTTGTTTTGTTTCCAATATGGCGGCGGCCCCTTATTGTTTTTTTTTTTTAGTTACACTTTTTTGTTAACAAAAAAAAAAACCCCTTTTGTTTTTTTCTTTCGTGATAATAATGATAATTAAACCCGAAAATAAAAAATTTTTCTTTCTTTTTTTTTTGTTCTTTCTCTCTCTCTTTCTCTCTTCATAAATAATTTTGTTTTTATTTTTTTTTTATTTAACACGGGTAATAAAATTTTCATTGTATTTAAATTTTTACTTTTTTACGAAAATTTTCCACGCACGTTGCGCGAAAATGATTACGTCATTAAAACGCGGACACCACGCGCACGCACGCACGCACGCACACAAGGCACCAAATAATCGAAATAAATTATCAACTAATTATTAACTTTTAAATAAAAACTATTTAATTACAATTAGGTAATCATTACCAAAACCGGTAACAACAACAACAACAACAACAACAATAATAATAATAATAATAATAATGATAATGATAGTACTTTTACTACGTTTTCCGAGTTTTCCTTCCTTTATTTCGTTCGATTTACTAAATGAAGGAAAATAAAATCGTCACAGGTGTAGAATTGGTTCTTTTTTTCCCCCTCCCTCATTTTCCCACCCCTCACTCGGACGTAAATGCGAAAACAAACAAAACAAACAAACAAACAAACGAACGAAAATAATTTATGTATGACTATATATGATAAAATGGTCAAAAAATAACGATAAACTACGAATAATATTAAAAGTCATATTTCGTATAATTTATCGCTCGTTATTAATAGAAATAATAATAATTATTATTATTATCCCCATCTTTCTTTAGAAAAAAAAAAAAAAAAAAGGTTCGAGCTTTTTAAATCTGACGACGTGTATATTTAATTTATTAACCGTATAAAAATAATAATAATAATAATAATAATAATAATAAGTAATAACGATGATGATGATGATGATGAAAATAATTAATAATAAAAACCTTTTTTTTCATTAAAATGAACTTTAAAAAATAATTTAAATACAAATCTTTTGTTTTTTTTTTTTTTTTTTTTAAATTTAATAATAATAATAATAATAATAATAATAATAATAATAATAATAAAGGGTAATAATGTAAATCTCGTAGTGTTTTTAATTAAACGCACTAAAACAATTTAATATGTATGTAAATAAATAAATAAATAAATAAATAAATAAATAAACATTAAAATTATTAATAATCCCTTTTTTTTTTTTTTTTTAAAGGGATAAATTTTTAATCTCTGGAGGCGTGGGTTATTATTATATTGTTTAATTCCTGATCGGACCCTAAAAATCCTTGTTTCCAGTAAAAAAAAAAATTCATTTCGGGGTTCCCTCCCCCCCCCCGCAGTTTCGAATGAAATTCGTTAATTAATAATTTTTTTTTTTTTTTTTTTCAATTTTTGTTTGAGTTAAAAATAAAAAAAAATTTCATGTCCACCCAATGTGTAATTCAAAACATAACGATAATAATAATAATAATAATAAAATCACTTAAAAGGATTAATGATAATGATGATAAAAGAAAATAACGTATTGTTTAAATTATTTGACCGATTCGAAACGGGGAAAAAAAAAAAAAAAATTTCATCAAATTAGAAAAAAAAAAGAAAAAGCCGATACGACAACAAATGATTCTTTTAAAGTAAATGAAAATTGATGGTAACCACACGGACCAGTGAATCAGAAGAAAAAGAAACGGAAAAAAGACGAAGGAAAAGAAAAACCGAAACAAGAAGAACAAGAAGAAGAAAATGGGGGGAAAGAAACGAAAAAGTTAATGTATAAATTAGAAAAAAAAAAAAAAAAAAAAAAAAGATTCGATTCTTATAAATATAAAAATTTTCCATGTTTATATATATACGCGCGCGTGTTTGTGCGTGTGCGTGAGTGCGTGTGTGCTGGAGAAAAAATAACTTGTCAATTGTTGTAAGCCGATCTTCAAAACTGAAAAAGATAAATCACTCCTGGAAAAGATTTTTTCCTTTCCCTTTTTTCCTCTACTTTTTTCATCTTTTCCTGCGTTTTTTATTTTTCTCTTTTTTTGAAAAAATTCAATCATCGGAAAATTCGTTTTATTTAAAATAATAATAATAATAATAATAATAATAATAATAATAATAATAATAATAATAATAATAATAATAATAATGATGATGATGATGATGATGATGATGATGATGATGATGATGATGATGATGATGATGATGATGATGATGATGATAATTAGCGTCGATTTATTTGAGTTTTTTTTTTTTTAGCATTTAAACTTTTCCTTACCAAAACTTAAATAAATCGACGCTAATTATTATTATTATCAAGGTGTTTAATCACTTTTCCTAATTATCACGTGACAACAACAACAACAACAACAACCACACGACGCGTTTTTTTTTTTTTTTTTTTTTTTTTTGTCATTGACGCTGGAGTTTATTTACAAACAAACACTTCCGCGTGCGAATAAACTCCAGAGGCATTCACCATTATTATTATTATTATTATTATTACTTTTTCCCGTTAAATAGAGAGAGAAAAAAAAAAAAAAGAAAACTTTACGAGCGTTGCCTTGTTTAAAAATGAAAAGGGTGAATATTCCACCCCTAACATAAACATCAATTTATATTTCCTTTAAATTAGAAAAAAAAAAAAAAAAAATTTTTAATGACGACATTTTTGTGTTTGTTACCGTTGGTTGTGTGTGTGTGTGTGTGTGAATTCAAACGTCATCGACCATTTTTTCCCTCTCTCTCCTGATTCCGATTTTTAACTAATTTCCGGTAGGGGGGGACCGGTACGGAAGGGGGGCGAAAAGAAAATTTTAACAACAAAAAATTACGTAACGGAAAAAAAAGACAAAAAAAGAAAAAATGGGTTTACGCGTTTCGACTTTCGTTTTCGTTTGACCCTCCTTAACTAAACTAAAAAACTAATACGAAATGGCAAGTTATTTAAAAACAAAAAAAAATCTAGTTAGTATATATCCTTTTCATACTTTTCTCTCTTTTACAAACGCACTCCCCCCCCCTTCCCCCGCTCTCATTAAACCAAAGTGTACAACCATTAATATACGATTAAATGTTTGCTTGTTTGTTTGTTTTTCAAACGCGACGATTCAATAAGATAGAATTTTACATTAAAATAAAAAAATTAAACGCGCCAATTTATAAAAAAAAAAAAAAATGCGAAAAAGTGAAAAAGAATCTCTTGGGATTTTATTATTATTATTATTATTATTTAAAAAAAAAAAAAAGAAAACCGTCTGTGAAATTTGATAGAAATAATAATAATAATAATATTCTTTTTTTTTTTTTTTTACTTGACTAATTAAATTTTCCTTTTTTTTCTCTCTCTTTACGATCATGATTGACGGTAAATTTTTTAATAAACTCACGTAAAAAAAACGCACAATCATTATTATTATTTATAATAAATTTACGATAATAATAATAATAATAATAATAATAATAATAATAATAATAATTCACAAACCGTTTTTTTTTATAAATAAATTATTATTATTATAAACACATTTTATTACATTCGAATAATTTTTTTTTTATTAAATAGATGTTCGAATTAAATGATTGTGCGAATGTTTTTTTTTTTTTACGTTTCCTACATAATAATAATAATAATAATAATAATAATGATAATAATAATAAATTAATATTCTTACCTTTTTTTTTTTTAGAGAGAAATTCCTTTTCTTTTCTTATTACACACGGCAATTTTTCTTTTTTCTTTTAAATCTTCTTCGTTGTTGTTGTTTTCATCAACGTATTTGTATCTTACGTAGAAACTAATAACAAAAATAATTTTTTTTTTTTTTTAAATTAAAAACGATTTGAAAATAAATAAATAAATAAATAAATAAATGAACGACGTTAAAACGACGAGAATAAATAAAAATAAATAAAAAAATAAAATAAATACACACTGAAACGATCAACTTGGTGCTCACTGCACATGTACTGTCAAGTTTTGCTAAACCGGTATCCTTGTTGCACTAAATTCAACAACATCCCGTTTCAAACGACGCATTCTCTCTCTCTCTCTCTCTCTTCTTCTTCTACGTCCTCTTTTTAATTTTCCCATTTTCCTTTTTCTTATTTTACTGATAACCTGACGTTCTAAGCTCAGGAGTTTATCATTCGTTCACTGGATTTGTAACAAAAAAAAAAAAAAAAAATTTTCTTTTAAATTAATTACAAACTGATAACTGTAAATTACAAAAAAAATTCAATTAAAAAAATCAATTTGGGGGGGGGGTTAATATTTAAATTATAAAAAAAAACATTCTTACTGACGAGTACACGTAACATACACGTACACACACACACGGGTGTGCGAAAAAAAAAAAAAAAAATTTATTAATGATGATAACGGATGCACACACGCAATTTTCTTTCCTCATGTTTAACTTATGTGCCAATTAAATCAAACTTTTTCCTTGTCTTTTATTCTGCGCATGCCGTTGATGCCAGTGAATGACCTCTTATAAAAAACCGTAATTCTTTCACACTTACTTTTTCAATCATCTAAGGTTGGCAATACTGAAACTGTTTTACTTATTTCAATCGTGACGTCGTTCGTAACGCTTTTCCATAAAAAAAATGCACTTTGCAAATAAACGGTTTCGGTTTTCATTCTTTTTCTTCGCACAATGGCGCCGGGGATCTAATATCCGTATCTTTTCAATTTACAACCTTTATAATTTGTAAAAAATTCAATTATTTACAACCATTTTATCATCATTGTATAAAAGTTTAATTATAATAATAATAATAATAATAAAGGGGAATAATGCTTCATTAAATTAATATCAGGTAATTAAAAATCAAATTTTTATTCTTATTAAAAAAAACTTTAAAGCTTTATTTAAAATCAAAAAAAAAAAAAGCTTTAAATTACAATTTGTATCTATTCTTCGTCGTCATCTCCTCCTCCTCCTCCACTTTTCTCTTTCTTAGAGTTTTTCCTCTTAACACGACCAGGTCTTCCACCTCCGAATGGACTGTTGAGTGAGAAGTCAATGTGTTTTTGAGAATCCAAACGAACAATAAATGATGGAATATTAACAACTTGTTTTCTCACTCTATGGCAAATAAAAAGAAAAAAAAAAAATTTCACTTTTATAAATGAAAAGTTTCCTCAAAGATGATTTTTGATGAATGTAATAAGAGATGATATAAAAAAAAAAAAAATAAAAATCTAAAAGAGCTGTTCCCTGTCCAAAATACAGTGATTAAAGGCAATAACTGTTTTTGATGATTTGTAACAGTAAAATTTAATCTAGCACGCCTATGACTCATTCACCTTTTATAACTGATAGCAAATCAGCTGAAACTTTCGTTAATCGTCATAGTTTCAAAAGGTGGACTTAAGGAACGTGCTTACAAGAGTAACCTTAATAAAAGGGCCTTTTTAAAAATTACCTAATAAAAGTTATGTGAATCCATATTTTCATAGTGCAGACGTTGATGAGAGGTTTGTTATTCATCCTCTACATCAAGTGGCCTGCATGATAATATGTTTCATATTTTATATCTCAATTTTCCTTTAATCACTTTCTTTACCCTGCCACTTTACTGCAATAAACAAAAACAATTCAAGTTTAAAATTTACAACTTTCGAGAGACTCAAATTTTTTTTTCTTTTTTTTTTTTTGTTATAAATATATTTTTCCGCTTTAAAATTACAAATGTTGCAGTAGCATGAATCAATAGAGTTTAGTAAAACTTACTGAGATTAAACACAGCATTTTATCTTGCCTTCTAAATATTGGGATGACATTAATTAATTAATGTTCCCTGCCCAGATATAGAGGCATATTTATTATAAATAACAAAACAACATTGTTGTCAATGTTTCATTTTTTGAATACGACAAAAAACTTTTGGCCTAGTGCTATAAAAGCATAACGATATATATATATATCACTGGTGTAAGTACAGTTAGTGTATTTCATTAATTTGACTTATTTATACTCACTGTATGTGTCTTTGCCTAATCAAAACTCTGGCATGATGAATAGATTTGGCCAATCCTAATTTAAAAACCTGAGTTTGTAATCTTCTTTCTAAGAAATCTTCAATTTTCAAACCAAGCACGTAATCGAGTTTCATACGGCTTTCATCTAATACACCAATACGAACTAAACGCCTCAATAAAGCGTTACCTGTTGAGAAAAAATTTAAAGTTGATTAAATTACTAAAATTTAACCCTTGCACGTTCTAAATTCTATTTTATCCATAAATTAGAAATTTAATGAAATTATGGCTTACCTTCGAAAAGCCTTTTCCCATCTTTTTCTTCAAGAGTTAAAAGTTCTCTGGCGGCTTTTCTGATTTTAGCAAGGGTATATTTAACCCTCCAAACCTCACGTTTGTTTCTTAAACCATATTCTCCGATAATTTTCAACTCCTGGTCCAAACGTGCTTTTTCGTAAGGACGTCTAGGAGTGACGTAGGTTTTACTGTGAACAGTCGGAACCCTTCTGTTCACCATGATTGCCTATTTTCCTAAAAAAAAAAAAAAAAATATTTATCAAATTTAAATAATAATAATAATAAAATACAAAATTAATAACAAAATAATTTTTAACAAAAAATTTCTTATAAAAAATTTAATAGTAAATGCAAAATTTAAACATGAAATAAATGGCCATGCGGTATGAAAAATTTTGTCATTAAATAAATATCCAATTTTATTCGAAACATCCGACACAACAGAAAAAATATTAATTTATTTTATAAAACTTAGTAATATAAATATTAAAAAAAAATACTTAATTTAAAATATAAATTAAAATTAAAAAATTTAAATACAATAAATAATTTTCTTACCTTCTCCGTCCACCATCCAAGTAAGAATGAAATATAAAATGGCGTCTGTTGACGTAACTAGAAAAAATGCGGCAAAGGCAACAAGACGATTTAAGTCGTGGTTTTATCCGACATAAATTACTGCATAGAAACTTTAAAAGTACCGTTCGTTTTGAACTATTTAATACGTAGAAGTTATTCCATATCCCAAATGAAATTTTTTCCATCAATGTCCTTTAAATAAAACTTATTATAAACAATTTAATAGTATATGCTTTTTATCAACACTTTTTTAAATAAATTTCAATTATAAAAATAAATTAAAATTGTAATTTAAAAACTAAGATTTGTTTCAATATAAAACTAGAACAAATTTTATTTGACACCAATTATAAAACTAGTAATATTATTGAAATAAAAACCCACGGATTAATTTGAATAAGGCAATTTAAAGCCAAAAGAAAACCCCACTGATACTATAATATTAGTTAGACTTGGAATCAAACACCTACTATTAAACTGATACTTTAACTACAATTTATTAAAAATTTCCACTCATTTAATCATTTTATAAATTATTACAATTAATATACATAAACTATTAAAATGATTGAAAATTTTTTTTTAAAAAAAAGAAATTAACTTTTCAAAAATTTTTTTTTTGTAAAATTAACTATAAATATATATATTGAAAAAAAATAATTGAGGTATAAATTTAAAGCTAAAATAATAAAGTAAATATATTATTAAAATATTAGACAAAATACCAAAAATCTACATAATTGCAAAAAGAACTTAATAATTATTAATTTTTATAATAATTTTTCATTTAAAATAAAATTTTAGTTTTTGAACAGAAAGGTTTTTGTTTTGTTTTGTTTTTAAAAATTAAATTAAATTAATCTAATAAGATAAAATTTATTATTATTATTATTTTAATTTTTTTTTTTTTTTCGTATGAACTTTAAAAGTAATTACATCAAGCAAACTAAAAATTAAAAAAAAAAAAAAAAAAATATTCCAATTATATAAATAATAATAATAATAATATTATTTATAATCAATAAAAATTAAGAAAAAAATTAAAATGCTAATCAATAATAATCATTTAATTAATTGTTACTTATGTGTATATTATAATGCCTTTTTTTTTTTTTTAAATTATTTTTATTATTTTTTTATTTTTTCTCACGTAGGATACTTCTACTGTCATTTTTCACTTAATCAATTTCATTTTCATGCAGGAAAATTGCAATAAAATAATAAACAAAAAAAAAATATATATTCCCAAGTCTTTTTTAAAAAAAAAAAAAAAAAAAAAAAAAGAAATGAAAACTTTCTCGACATCACAATCTACAATAAGAAAAGAACACAATAAGCCAAAACGGCCTGAAATTATAATTCTATAGTGTATAATAAAATTATAATCCGATTAGGCTCGTTCTCCTCTGATACGCCTTGCAAGTTGAATGTCTTTGGGCATAATGGTAACTCGCTTGGCGTGAATAGCGCATAAGTTAGTGTCTTCGAAAAGCCCAACCAAATAAGCTTCGCTTGCTTCTTGCAAAGCTCCTATAGCTGCACTCTGGAAACGGAGATCAGTTTTGAAGTCTTGTGCGATTTCACGAACGAGTCGCTGGAACGGCAATTTTCGAATCAACAATTCTGTACTTTTCTGATACCTGTATTCGAAAACAAAGATGATATTAGGAAGAGGAACAATAATTAATCATTTTAAAAAAAATATAATGTTTCAATATTACATTAAAAATCTTGATTTAATGCTTTTATGAATGGCAAACCTCATGCAATATGATAAATACTTTACTTTTTTTTTTTTTTTATCGTGATACTAAATTGTACATTTTATAAATGAGCCATTTTCTTTTTTTTTTTTAATATACGAAATAACAAACATACAAAAACAAAACGATTCAATTGAAACAAAAGCAAAAATGTCTTGTTAAACGTATATATAAAAATAATATTTTGGACAACTAGATAAAGCTGTTTACAAAATATACAATATAATATATAATATATATTATATATAATATAAAAAAGTATAAAAAATTATATAATTACCGACGAATTTCTCGAAGGGCGACAGTACCAGGTCGGTACCTGTGAGGTTTTTTTACACCCCCAGTGGATGGTGCACTTTTACGTGCAGCTTTAGTAGCCAATTGTTTTCTTGGTGCTTTACCACCCGTAGATTTTCGAGCGGTTTGCTTCGTACGAGCCATGATTCAATACTTTATAACACCTACAATAAAATACATATACTTATTATCAATAACAGTAAACAGTCAAGGTAACATTCACAATAAACTTCTAAAAAAATTGATATTTTTAATCTTCAATATGGAAAAAAAAGATAATTAAAAAATCGATGATAAAACGCGAAAACTAAGAGTACATAATTTATAACTAAATAAATCCCTGTATCACTTTTCATTCACAAAAGCATGTCATAACAAGTTCAGATGTTTAAGTAAATAACAACCTAAAAAATATATTCGTATTTAATATCTATGTAAAAAAAACTTAGTTTTTGTTTTGGTAAATGTATTAAAACATGATTCAACCTTATAAAATTAAAAATGATTTCAATTTATTAAAAAAAAGAAAACAAAAACAACGCTATAAACATATATATAATATTATTAAAATGCCAACTTAAAATGGCGGAGAACAAAGATATTTTGATTATTTACAAAATAACGTTTCATACACAAATATCCATATTGTAATCGAATAAATTTATATACAATTAATATTTATGTGAAATAATTTGAAAATAACAATAAATTAATAAGAAAAAATCACCTCGAATAAATTATTTTTCACAAAAATTACTTATTAGTAAATGCACAACGCAACTGTGATGAAGAAACAATGGATGACGAAATGATGCAATTGGTAGTATCAAACTTGTAACTATTTCGTCATTGGCTAAAATAACGAGCGTTTTGATTGGTCAAAATAACGAATTTTATGATTGGTTAATTTTTGACGAACTTCACCAGGGTCGTTTTCTCGTTTATTTTCCATTAGAAATTCTTCTCCAAAATAAACAAAAACAAATAAAAAAAATTACGTTCCAAAATAAAAAAATAAAAAAACGTTTAAAAAAATGTCACCCTCCAGTAATATATCATAAAAGAAAAAAAAAAAAAATCGAAACGAATTAATTTAAATTAAATTCGTTATTTTAAAAAATCGCGCCCAATTCCTTTGAGAAAAATTTTCAAATTAGTTACCGTTCGATTTAAATATCAAATTATTTAATAATAATAATTATTATTCATATTAAAAACAATTTTTAGAATTTTTACTCTTAATTTTTTTTTTTTAAATAATTAAAAATTATTTATAATTAATGAAATTATAAATAATAAACAATTTCATTTATAATAAATAAAATTGCGCGTAAAAATTCAAACGTTCAACGTAAAAATGTTAATTTTTCGATGATACAAAAAAAAAAAAAAAATTGAAAAATTTTATACGAAATAAATAATAATTAATAAATTAATTAAATAATAATAATAATAATAATAATAATAATAAAAACATATTTCTCATCGTGAAAACAACAAAAAGAAAAAGAATCGTAAGTGGAACAACAAACAGTTTTCACTTTTATTGTTTCATTGACCTTGTTGCATTCTCCAGAAAAATAAATAAAAATAAATGATAGCATTATCATTGATAATAATAATAATAATTTTCATTTCGATATTTAAAAAAAATTTCTTTCAACTTGATCCTCAAATTAATAAAAATATAAATAATAATAATAATATATACCTTGATAGTGAACTTTAAAATGTCAACAATATTATTATTATTATTTCACGTTTGTAAACATTTCAAAAAAACCGTGACGTCATAAAACGATACATACAAACCTCAAAATAAACAAATTATGTAAAAAAAAAAAAAATTCATTAATTAATAAATAAAATAAAAATAATTAATTAATTAATTATTTATCCGTTTATTCTTATCATATAACTGAGACATTTAAATTTTTTTTTACTTTTTTTAATTTTTTTAAATTATTAAATTTTTAAATATAATAATAATAATAATCAATAGTAATAATAATAATAATAATAATAATAATAATAATAATTTTAAAATTAATTTACAAATTGCTTTCACTCATTGTGCAAATTCTTCATTCTTAAGCATAAACTGTACACACATAAAAAATTTTATTTTTTTTTTGTTATTGTTTGTTTATCATTATTATTATTATTTTTTTTATTAAATTTAATTTTTTAACTAATAATAATAATAATAATTTTTAAAATAAACAATTAATTATATTGTTTTTGAAAAATTAATTAAAAATATATATATATATATATAATAATAATTAATAAGTATATGCATTACTACAATTATTTTCTCTCAGGTTGCTAATAATAATAATAATAATAATAATAATAATAATAATAATAATAATAATAATAATAATAATTAATTTGAAAATTCAGTCTAGGGATTTAAAATATATATTTAAAAAAAAAAAAATTTTTTTCTTTTTTTACTTCAATCATCATTACATAAATAACAATTGAAAATATATATATATATATAAATTTGTTTAGGCTACTATTAATAATAATAATAATTTGTTTTTTTTCTAAATTAATAATAACTTATTTTTAATAATAATAATAATAATATTCATTGTCATAATTATCAATATTATTACTTATAATTTATTGTTAATATTTATATATATATATATATATATATATATATATATATA